TGTGTATGTTGGAGTGGGTGTGTGTGTGTCAGCAGATGGAGTTGCAGTGTGTTTGGGATTGATCTACACCTCTAGCAGACACAAGAGATCTAATCAGAGGTTCTGCATGTCTGCGAGCATCTCCTCCAAGCCAACACACACACACACACACACATTCACACACGCTCCTTTACTACTGGGACACAAACATCCCAGATAAACAGCTGACATCAAATATCAAAAGGAAAAATCAACTACTGTGTACTAGCATTTAAATGAATTGTTTGATGCAGTGCATTTATTATGTAGATACATGTGCTCACCAGTAATGAGAACAGAAATGTTAAAGTGAGTGGAACCTTTTTGGATCTCAGTGCATAGTATAGAAAACTAAAGCATGTCCTTTTAGAATACACAGAGATGCCAATTTTGGCAATGTTGGGTTTTTACAGGAAAAGATAAAAAAAGGGCTGAGAATACAATTGAAGACAAAATAATTATCTCTCCTGTGACATTTTATTAATTTTTCAAATATTTCCTATGTGCTGTTTTTAACAGATTTTTATCCCAAAATATTTTTAAACATAATAGTTTTAATAACCATTTTTCTCATAACTAATATAGTTTGTCTTCCTCATGACAGTACATATTATTTTACTATAATAGATACTATTATTCAGCTTCAAATGCTATTTATAGGCTTAACTATGTTATTATATTAACTAGACAAGTATATATATTTAAAAGAAAATCATAGGAAATACTCTAATAATTACAATTGCAATTAGTCGACCATATGCTTAAACTAAAACAAAAAATGTGATGCATAATATCATATATTGTTGAAAGAAAAACTAATTATTCCTTAAAAAATAGAAGCATAATTGTTTCCAATTAAGATCAACAAAAAACAAGTACAATGTAAACAGTATATACATATGAGTTTTTGAATGGTGTTTTGGTTTGAAGCATCTAACATTAGCAAGCCACTGGTATTTACATTTTATCATGATTTAAAAATACCTGTATCTAAAATGACACTGTCGAGCTTAACAAGGATTATTATAAGACTTTTGAACTTTCATATTGTAAGTCAGTGAAGTTTCCATACATGATTATTTGCCCATTAATGGGTTAAGACCAAACCATGCAGTAAAACTGTCCTTAGCCTTAACTATGTTTCACTTCTAAAGCAACAAATAATATGAAGTTTTTGGAATAATATGAACATTGTATCATCTTTGTATCTTACACTTTAGTTTAGGTCACAACTCACTGTATTAACAAACCATTAACTAACGCTATTAGCTTAATAAACTACTTATTAATTGTTATTAATAGTAAGGTAGAAGTTGGGTTTTAGTTTTGAGTTGGATTAGGATGCAGAATAATATCATGCTTTATTTAACTAATGAATAGTTAATATCGTAATAATAAGCAGGTTATAAGCCAGTAGTTAATAGCATGAATTGTGACCTAAACTAAAGTATTACCCAAAAAACATACTTGAAGTACAAATAGTGAAAGCATTTGTACATTTTGAGCATGTAAAAGGTAGTTTGTATAATTTTAAAAAGATCCTCTTTAGATTGTTTTCCATTTCTGTTTATGTTAAATGTATGCTAAATTTATAAAAACTCAAAGACCCTTTTTCTTACATTTGCAGGTATCTCAGTAGCAGAAGTCGTCATAGTTGGGAAAACTTAGAGCTCAGTGAATGGGAGAATACAATGGGTGATGTTATAAAGACTTTCAGAAAAAGGAAAAAAATTGTGTGAGATTGATTACGGCAGACAGAGAGGAGAATAATGTTAAATGTACTGTCCTGTCCCACAAGCGGTTATTTGTTTTTTGTCATTTGAACCAAAGATAATATACTACATATATAAATTTAAAAATTGTTTATACGTTTTAGAAAAAAATGTTCTAATATAAAATATAATATAAAAATAATTTAGATATAAAAATATCATAAACTTTCAAGGATTTAAGATGCCGATGACCATTAAACGCATCATAACAGGCTTGTGAAAAGAGTCCATTTACAAACTTTACAATGAACTATTTCTTTAAAAAATATCTATCTTTCAGACTTCGGAGGATTAAACAGTTTTCCCATCCTGAAAAAAAAGCTAAATATTTTCTTGATATGCAAAGCTTAAAAAAAGATTACTTTATCCATAATTATATTTGTACATTTTCTTATAATTAACACATGAATCTAATTAAATTTAGCGAGGTTCATTCTTTTACAAATGTGTTTGCAAATTGGGGATTTTTTTCTATGAAATGAGGAAAGGATGACAAATGAACAGGGACTAAAGCTTTCATGCTCCAGAAATGATCATCATAAATCATCATAAAAGAAATCCATATGACTTATGTACCACATTCTGAAGGATCTGGGATAGATGTAAAGACTACAGTGAATAAAAACTACATATGAATCAGTTCATCATAAAAAAAGCTTTCTGACATGAATTGAGATATAAGATTATATGGAATATATCATTTTACCGCACCCATTATCAATCTCTTTAATTATATTGAACTGTGTAAATAGTGTAAAGTAAGACATTGTTCTTCCTTTAAAGTGGTAGATTGTAGCAAAATCAAGTCTGTAGAAAATCAAGATTATAAAAATATAAAAATGTTGTTTAGGGGTGTCAAACTCATTTTCAGTGAGGGCCACTTCAGCTGTTTTATTGACAGGATCATCAGGCAAGCAATGATCAACACAGGAGCAAACAGATGTATGAGGGCAATCCAGAGTCGTAGTCGAAATAGCAGGCAAATGGTCAGAAAGCAGGCAGCATACAGGAATAATCAAACAAAACAAAGCAAAGGTTAAAGACACGGTCACAGTAATGTCACTTAATACATAACAACTCAGCAAGACTCAGCAATGAGTGTCCCAAAGTGAGATGTATATACATGTGTGTAATCAGTACTTGAATAGCATCAGCTGTGTGTTTGCAATCAGTCAGGATCAGGAACCGGTTGTTTGTGCGTGTGTTGCATGACTGGTTCTTGTAGTCCATTTACCAGCAGACTTGTAGTCCTATGTGAGTGTGAATGTTTTCCTGCGATCTCTAGTGGTTAGATCGCTGGTGATCGTGACATCAGCATTATGACTGCTAATGGTCCAGCTATAGATGTGAGACTGTATAAATTTCACTACTTATTAACAGATTTTTTAATAATTGTTTCTTTATTTTATTGTAACTTGTTAAATTAACAAATAAATGCAAAATAGATGTTACTTCTCTGGGTTATTTCAACATGAATCTTTTTATCAGGGTGAGAAACCCACAATGCTCTGTCAAAGTAGAGAACAAAGGAAAATGCATTTCCCTAAAACTAACATTTGAGAGAAGCAAAACTACTGTATGGAACAACAAGTACTTTTAAGCTGGTTCACAAAACAAACATGCATTATGGGAGATGTAGTTTATTGTCAATGTACTGCTAATAAAGCAGCATGGACTGTTATAATGGACAGTTAGAATTGAGTTAGCTTCTAGCTTTAGAGATTCTCACATGAATTTTCAGCTTGAGTTAAATATCTTGAACTTGCATGAAAGACAAAATATCAAGTGACTTCTGCAGCAAACATGTCATGCATTTTGCCTCATTTGCTCCACCCATTTTGCATTCGCCTAACAGATCCGCCACTTTTAGCGCTCATAAACAATCATAAATCCCTCATGCTGCAGGAATGAGGAGGTCTGCTGAAGGTGCGCAGCTGTCGTGCAGCAAGGGGTTTGCGTCTTTAATAATCTAGGGCCGTTTGCGCTCACTGAACAGTAAGAATGATTAATAAATATAAATATGTCGTGTCTCGCTTTCAGTTTCGGGCTTTGGCGCGTTTTGCACTCACACTACAAACGTACCGCGCCCAACGCCCAAGTGAACCACGCTCAGGCCCACCTCTTCCAACCGGGCCAGGGACGGCCAAGTGAACCGTGCCTGAGCCCTATTCAGCGCACTTACACTTTTCAAACGATCCGGGAAACGGGCCTGGGCACAGTTTAAATAGCATAGTGTGAGTAGGCCCTTAGTTTTAAGAGTAGCTATACACCAAAACAGAGACAAAAAATCCCTGTCACTGTTACTTTTAAAAAAATATATAACTGATAAAAACATCCAAAGCTTGTAGTTTGTCGCTATATGGATCAACAATTTTTTTTTTTTCACGACACCTCAAACTTCAGTTTCTCATCAAATCATGACCAATCAAATGCTATCTAGTGTCTGACATGCCCCACCCCCTTCAAGACACTTCTCATTTGCTTTTCATTAGCTGTTTTAATCTCAAGCGCTCTCACCGGCAGAGCTGTGAAACGCTATTGGGTGTTTTTTAAAAGGTGAGTAGCCACTGTATGTCCCACCTAGGCATGGGACGATAACCGGTTTAAAGGTTTACCATGGTTTAGAAATGTCAAGGTTTTAAAACCACAAGAATTTTCTGTTATACCAGTTCTAAGGTATATGTATGTTTATTTATTTATTTTTTTAATGTGTTGTAAAGAAATCTGTGTTTTTGAAACTAATAAAGACCTCTCCCTCGACCCTGACCACACTTGTCAATGATACCAAACTAAACAATCACAGAGCTTGCGCTATGCATCATTGCAACGTTCAGTTAAATCTTTTGAGAGGCGCACATCAGCGTCAGCCACGGCGAGGGGTCTCGATGCAGCAGAATAAACAAAGCGGGGTCATGTGACTCCACATGCGGTACGAAAAGTAATTGAAAAAAATCAACCTGGAAAAATTAGATTGATTATAGGTTGTGAATTCTATTAATTGCCATACCCTACTACACTTATGACTGTATATTGTTTTTGTTTGTGGATACTTAGAATTTTTACTGACAAAAACAACCAAAATGCTGTTTAAGAAATTCATTATAATAATATGTAGATTATAATAAATAAATGGTTATGTTTTAGCTTTTGTAATAAAGACTCTTCTGTGTAATTAAATGTTTTTTTTTGCTTATGTGTGTTTTTCTGTAGATGTTGAGCAATAAGAAAGGTTTGCTGCCAGAACCCAATCTGGCCCAGTTCCTCAACAGTATGACCAATCCTGCTGCTCTCCAGGTCCTCATGAGACCCTACCCCACAGCCAAACGAGGAGGTAACCCTTCACTGTCTCCCTACTCATTATAGCCAAATCTGAACACTGAATATTCAAAGCAATAACTTTAAGTACTTTACAGAAAGAACCAAAATCGTGTTCTGTGAGGACTACAGTTTTTAAAATGAAATATTTCTCATTCCTCCGCATATGTGTCTGTGTGTGTGTGTTCGCTGTGAAACGGTGATCACCAGAGCAGCAGACTCTCAGCAGATTTTTCTCTTGATGAAAGCCTAATCATATATTAAAATGAACTTTTCATTTGGTGGGAGAATAAATGAGCTGAGGAAGAAGGTGGCGGCCAGAGCTTAAAGAGAACACACAATTACAACACTAAATATAGCGCATGATTAAATGTTAAACTTCTCTACCTATTCCGGAGCAACTTGCCATTAGCACCGAAGCTGGAATTTGGGAATGATGAAATCCCGAGCCACCAATATCGGCCACACACTGTTGTCCATCTCTCTTTTAAAGACACAATATGTATGATTTATTTTATTAAAATATACAAAAACTGCTAGGATGGTGTTATATATTTTGCTGACTTACAGTATGCAATTCCCAAATGTTTTGAAGAATGTTTAAATACAGAGAAATAAGCAGTTTTATCTATTGACATAAACAGTGTTCTGTGTCGCCATGCTAATGATCTCGTAGACTCTTGATTTCCAGTTTGATTTTAATATAAAAGAGGAAAATTTAATCATAATGCTTTAATATGTTGTGTTTTATTAGACTGCACAAAGCAGAATAATTTATACTTCCTTAATAATATGCTCCCAGCAAGCACAGGATGTCAATATGACAACAGATTGATGTTGTCGTTGTGGGACGTTGCATTTTGATTGGAAATGAAAATTGGGTTGACATCAAAACCCAATGTCAGACCGACTTCAGTGTCTAAAGTTGCACATATGTTTTATTTTGTTCACTTTTCAACGCAACCTAAAAACAAGTAAATATCATTGTCTAATGATGTTACAGCTTGACATAGTGTGGACGTTACCGCTATGATTTCAATCGGACGTTGGAGTTTGGTTGCCATACCTGACGAATGAATATCAGTATTTGATGTCAATATAACGTTGGCTTAAGATGTTGGCTCAACCTTCGATTTTGGTCACTTACCAACTCAACTATTTGCGTCATTTGACTTCTTTATTGGACGTTAAAATAACATACATTGAATTTTGGTTACCCAACATTACAACCTAAATCTAACCTAATATTATCATCTTATGACAGTGTGTCATTTTAAATGTTTAAATGTTTAGCTTTAGATCACCAGGAGCCCCATTAGATGTAATGAAGACAACAACTTTCATGATTCCACACCACAAAAAAGACTCAGTGAGTGGCTGAGTGTGGAATTATGGGAGTTGTTGTCTTCATTATATCCTCCTATTATACTCCTCTAGAAATCTAAAGCTTACCTACTGTGGAAAATTACACACAGTGCCATACATCTTTGTTTTATTTCATGCTCATTTAATGTTGTTTTTTTTTTCTTCACCAGGGAAGTTTGGTCGACCTCACAATCTTCCTTTCCTGCGTCCTCCATTGACTGCAGCGCTGCTACAGTTAGGGAAAGCACAGCAGGTACTCACTTTCTCATTGTGTTGCTTACAAGACTGAATTAATTCAAAAGGTGTTGCTTTAAAATGGCCATTTCATGCTTTTTTCTTTATTTGTGCATGTAACAGATTCACAATGTTACAAAGCTTATTGTCTAACAGAAAACATTTGTCCAGACCTGCCTAAACTGGATAAAAATAAAAGTACAAAATAACAGGTCCAGAAACATCTACAGTTTAAGGCTAAATTATTAGCCCTTCTGTCAAATGTTTGCTTTTTCAAATATTTCTCAAGTGATGTTTATTAGATTGGACTGGCTGACTGACTGACTGACTGACTGACTGACTGACTGACTGACTGACTGACTGAATGAATGAATGAATGAATTAATTAATTAATGAATGAATGAACGAACGAACAAACGAACGAACAAACTGTTTAGGTCAATATTATTAGACTCTTATGGTACCTACGTACTGTCAACATGGCAAAGATAAAGGAATGAGTTATTAGGAATTAGTTATTACAAATGTTATGTTTAAAATGTGTTGAAAGGATCTCTTAGTTATGCATCACTTGGGAAATCTTTGAAAACTAATAAAAAATCTCACAAGAGAGCTAATCATTACCTTTTCTGTGACTTTATGTCATAACTTGAAATATTAGAATAATGTGGTTGATTCGATGTTGGGATCACGAACTACAGTTGTTCATAAAACAAAAGAAAATGGGAATCACTCAATAATTAGATTGAATTTTTTATAGATTAGGGACTCTATTTTAAAGATCTAGATGCATAGTCTAAAGTGCATGGCGCAAAAGTATTAGGGGCGTGTCCGAATCCACTTTTGTCATTTTAATGATGGGAGAATATACTCTGCGCTATGGTCTAACAGGGTTGATACTTTCTTGGATAGGGAAATGGTGTTGTACACAGTACGCACACACTGAAGACATTCATTAGCCTACATATTTAATTTCCTTTATTAAGCACAAAGATTTGTTTCAAAACTATTTCTAAATTTAGTTAAAATTTCCAGCGAATGAATAAATGAACACTAATAAGTGTGAGAAGTGTGCTTTTTGGAATTATATCCAAACACACGTCCTATTTTTATGCCCCATATGGTGATGCATGCGTCATTAAAACCTGACAGGTGGTTAAATCTAAACTTGTTTTTATTAAAACAAATATAAATATGCATATAACAAATAATACTGCTAATAATAAAATTATACAAATGCAAATTGTCATAAACTGAAAAAAGCCCCCTGGTATGAGGCATGGAGGCAGTGGTTTTCATATTTATATAGAAAATTTCAATTTTTGCAACATTTTAATCCTTTAATTGTTTTTCATATGTAAAGATATTTGTGTATTGCTGTACATCCTGTGTACATTAAGCAATGTGTAAGCATTTGGACCTGCATAGGCACATAACTAACACGCTCTGTGCTGGACTTTAGCCCAGCTTTTAGTTGGTCAATAGCACTGTCTATTTAACTTTCTCAAAATAGCAATGTGCCAACAATGCGCCTTAACACACCTCCTTTTTACACCAGCACACCCTTGAGTCCACGAAGAAGTGCCAATGGTTTAGCTTTTTAAGCAATATGGTGAAAAATGTGAAAATTACTATTGCGCTTGTCTGAAAATAGCAACAAATCACGCCATACACATATTGCGAACTATTGCACTGGGTGTATGATAGGACCCTAAATGTTTATTATCTTTGGATGCTTCTGTTAATTATTTCATGTTGCAGAAACATATTTTAACCTATTATACCAAATAAACTGATACAAAGGAACTGATACACTACATCAATCTGGCCCTTTTAATACTTATTTTTATTATAAACAGATATCAGGTTTGTTTTTGTCACGTGAAGATTATCTTAAATGTTTTATAGGGAGCATTTTAGGAAGGCATCATTTTTAAAAATGCCTTTAATACACATTATAAATTGTACGTAAATTAAATTTTCAACAGAATCATAGAACTAAATCGAGGTTTTATTTTAGCGAAATTCCTCTTCATCTTGGAACAGTTAAGGAATTTAATCTGCAGATTAATTTACACTGATTAATTGTTCACTTTAAGACTAGATTTATACACTAATAAAGTAGTGTTAATTGTGATTCCATGCTGATTATAGAGACTAATATAATTTTTAAAAAATCCACAAGGTCAAAGGTGCTCACAGAGAGAAATATGCCTGAGAAAAGTAGGTTATGTGTCATGGATAAAAAGAATATAGTGCAGTGATGAAGATTACTTTAGAGGAAAATATGCTGAAATATGATGAATAGGCAGATACTTTATAGATAAATAGAAAAGCATCATGAACCATCTCTTTTCACTTACCAGTCTCTGTTTTTCTCACGCAGAGTGCCATTCTAGGAAACGGCCTTGTTCTACAGAATCTTCTTCACATGCAGATGGCCCAACAACAGCTTTTACAGATCAAAGACAAGCAGATCTCTAATGTGAGAGTCTCTCTCTCTTTGTGTGTGTGTGTGTGTGTGTGTGTGTGTGTGTGTGTGTGTGTGTGTGTGTGGTGTGTGTGTGTGTGTGTGTGTGTGTGCGTGTGTGTGTGTGTGTGTGTGTGTGTGTGTGTGTGTGTGTGTGTGTCTAAAACACGAAAAAGACATCATCACATTTCACTTACCTGCAAGAAAAGGCATGTTATACAACAACAGCCTGAAATTGTGTTCGTAGCTTTTTTTTTTTTTGCAGATATGTGGTTTGCATTATGCTTTGTTCTGAATAATAAGAAAACAGCAGATTTTGTTTATAAAAGCATTATTTATATATATTTATGTAGAGAAGTATTAGAACGATACATCTACCTGGCATTTTAATGCATTCGAGATTTGAGGTTCTAATAATGCAGACCACGTAGGCTAATTTACACCTATGAAAACTAGGCATTCATGGAATTCCTTCATAAATCTCCTTTAATGCATGTGTGTGTGTGTTTTTGTCAGCTTTCAGGATGTTTCACCTGGTATTAAAATGTTATGAAACACTAAACTACATTTTCTAAGACTGAACTGTAATTTCTGGGGTTTTCTTTGGTGTCTCTGTTGGACATCATTGAAGACTAGGATATTATTTGTTAACAGGCCCATAGTGGTCCTTGGGAGAACAAGGAGAATTCCTGTGTTAAATTTGCCCGGGCCAGGATAAGGCAATTGCACTATAAGCGTATCTCTAATAAATGTTGTAATATGGCTTACAGGTAATATTCTGAATGCTAAAAGGCAAGCCAAGCAGTTTCTCTCCTGCTTTCACATGCAGGTACAAGTATACTGTACAACAACATGCATTAAAACTGTGGCTTTCTTGTGTAACTTGGAAAACCAGTAAAGAACAGATAATAGTTGCAAATGAAATGATTAACTGCTAGAGTTATGAGTTCTGTTTTATGCCAAAAATGATAGAAAACGTCTTGAATTTTGCATAAATGCTTTTTTTGAATAAGTGAATATTAGATTTATTAAGTGCTCACTTCCTAAAAATTAAGTAAATATCTACTGCATTCATTTCTAAGGTGTAATGACGTTTTATAGATCAACACAGTAAAATCCATACATCAGATGTTCATTTTAATTTATTTTTTACATTTATATTTGCAGTATTTTTTTAATTAGAAAAATTTCGTTAAAGCTTTATAGTATTTCACTTTACATTTATTTGAAACATTAAAAACTTAGTCTTGTAAATTTGTCAATTTTAGTTAGAAAACCAAAATAGCACCAAAACTGAGTTTAAATCCTACATTGTCGTGTCAGTATTTCAAACAAAATCCTCTTCACTTCATTATTAATATTCACAGAAATTTCATTTAAAACAATAAGCCTAAAAAGTTCTTATAACTATTGGTGGAAGTGCCTGTGTGTTAGTGTTCACACTGCTGGGGCTGCGAATGATTTCAATGCAGGGTCAACTACACTGACAAGTGTCACATCACACTATTCAACAAGTGGCACCCTTCATCAAAGTTATCCTGAATCTGTTGAACAACACCCATTCATGTTTTAGGACAATTTTGACTACTGCAAGTATACGCTGACTGGGTGAATCATGCCGTACAGTATGAAACACTGGCACAGTATTTTAAAGTGTTACGAGACATTTACATTCACAAAGATTATGTTATCCACATTTACCTGCTGTCATTTTCTGCAGTGTTCTCTTCTTTTCTTAGCCTCGAAGTTTAGCACTAGAAGTTGTCATCGATGATTTAGTCTTTTCTTTCACTCTTTCAGTCGCATAAGTTATGCATCTATATTCCATCTGAAACACACAAATCAATAAAACCACAGTATCTTATATTCTCTGTATTTTTGGCTGTTTAATATATCTTTTGATGTCACTGTCAGTCAGCTTACTCTGGTGGTGGAAAGAGTACTGAGAAATCATACTCGAGTAAAAGAACCATTACTTGGCCAAAAATGTAGTGCAAGTAGATTAAAAGTATCTGTTGTAAATATAACTCAAACTATAAGTAAAAAGTAGCCCTTTTAATGTACTGAGTAGTGAGTGCTACTCTGCGGAAAGCTGATGCATTTACATGCAATTTGTGTTTTTGTGAACATAACATTCTGTAGTGCATTTAATTATCGTTTAAGATTATTTGGTGATTTTAGTACAGTATACATCCGCCATTTTCTCATACAGTAGTCTGGGGGAAATGCTTTTTGGGCAATCAGGCTTGATATTCAGCACAAAAGCCCCCTTTTTCAATCTGTTCCCTGTACTACTGATATACTGATGTTAAAGGTCGCTGGGAGCAGTTGGTTATTCTCAGGCCACCAGATCATTTTAATCCCACCCCAATGGAAATGTAATACGGTCCGAAAGGAAAAGTGCACTGCATCAAAACAAAAGATACAGATTATGATCTCAATCATAACTGCCATGCACATCTTTTGCAATTTATCATGGATTTCTTCATTCAGTTGTACGCATATGAGCACTGCCGCAATATGTATGTAGTACATGAACAAATGAAAGCTAAGGGTCTTGAGATCTGAACAAAAGTGGTCAAAGGAGATAAATGTCAACAGTAAGTGGAAACGGTAATGCATCCTTTTAATGTAATAACTGCAAAGGTATGTTAATACCAGGTGGAAATAGGGCCAGACTTTCCACAAGACTCTATTATGGCTTCTTTATCTCACTCTTTTTTTCTCACTCTCAGGTGCCGGGTCTTTTAGGTGACCCCTCCCGGCTGCTCCTCCAGAAAGTTCTGGGTTTACGAAATCCGGCGACAGTTCCTTTGGGAAAGGGCTTGCTGGGAGATTCCCCCACAGGTGAGAGCTTCTGCTTGGGCGGTCAAGCCTGCAGACGGCAGGCCTGGTCCAGAGGTCTCATTCGCTTCTGCAGGGAAAGACATTTGCAATGCAAATCCTCAAACTGTTTGAAAGCCCCATTATAAGCAATACGAGGCAGCTGCTTCAATCAGAATTTCTTCCTTTGTGCTTTTATAGAGACGTGTGTGTGTGTGTGTTTGTGTGTGCAATGTCTGGTATAGGCATTCATCAAAGCATTTAAGACCTTTGAAGAGTTTGTTATTGTGCAGGGTCATTTCTATTTGAATATCAGTGCCATGCAGGTGTTACAGTGAGGTAGGAATTAAGGTTGTATGAAGTTTATACACTGTATGCACTGAAAACTAAAGCTTTTTTGCTGTAGTATATTAATAAAACGTTCTCTGGTTTGTAGAGTTGGGACAAGACTCTTCTCTAGTCACTTCTCACGGTGTAAACTCTGGGATGGTGTCACATTTACCGGGACGTTCCCTCGCTGAGCAGAATGGAGTCGCGTTGACGTGCCTGGCTCCAGAGAAACAGCCTGCTCCACCGGGAACCACAGGGGGATCTCTAAGCTCCCAAACACAGCTGCAAAACTTCCTTCCTGGGATTAACACTTCAAGTCTTGGATCTTTACTGGGGAGCGCAGCGCACAAAACTCCAGCCAATCATCACAGCGCAAGTGTGCAGACTAGTACTTCCGTTACGGTGAGCCTGCTTTCCCTCATAGATAAAACTGAGTATTTTTGGTCTTTTCAGAGCTTTAAATTAATAGAATAATTACTACTATAATACTGCTAATAATAATAACATTATACAAAAGCAAATTGTCACGAATAAACTGAAAAAGCCCCCCCGAGATAAAGAAGGCATGAAAGTATGGTTTTTATATTTATGTAGGCTAGAAAATAACGTTTTGTAATATTTTAATTCTTTATATTTATATCCTATATATTTCCTTATTATATCCTATATTTATCCTTAATATTTTAATTCTTTTTCATATGTAAAGATATTTGAGTATTGCTCTACATCATGTCTGTATTAAGCAATAAGCTTATAAGCAATAAGGCGCACAACTAACACGCTCTGCGGTGGACTTTAGGCCGGTTTGTTCTCGTCTATAGAACAGACTATTATAGTTTCTTAAAATAGCATTGCACCAACAATGCGCCTCAACATGCCTTCCTTTTTAGACCAGAACGCCTATGGGTGCACATCTGAACGCAAATGCATGCGCTATTTAAACAGCGTGGCAAAACGTTTAAATGACTCTTGCGCCAAGTCGAAACTAGCAAACAACAATCGCGTCATGTCTTGCGCCACATTGTGCCGGGTGTATGATAGGGCCCATAGACTTTATTAGGGGGGAGTACAGGTATATAAACAGCCGCCCAAGTATATTTACACTTTTGACAATTTTTTTTTTTTTGCTATTACTATAATCTTTTTACGGGCGACGTGGTGGCACAGTGGGTAGCGTTGTCGCCTCACAGCTAGAAGGTTGTTGATTTGAGCCTTGGCTGGATCAGTTTGCATTTCTGTGTGGAGTTTGCATATTCTCTCCGTGTTGGCATGGGTTTCCTCCGGGTGCTGCAGTTTCCCCCACAAGTCCAAAGCTAAAATTGTCCGTGTATGTAAATAGAAGTGTAATGGTGTTTCCCAGTGATGGGTTGTAGCTGGATAGGCATCCGCTGCATAAAACATATGCTGAATAAGTTCATTCTGCTGTGGGAACTGTAGATTAATAAAGGGACTGAGCTGTAAAGAAAATGAATGAATAAATTAATATTTATTATTATTAGTATCATTGTTAAGTAGGATTTGTTTTATGTTATGATTTGTTATGTCTTAATAAGTAACCTACTGTAAATTAGGCCTATACAATCATTAACGATTTATATAATTTAAATATGAGATTAAAATACGTGTTATCTTAGTGATTTTATATAGAATATACTCAATAATATTTGAAAAGGAGACATATTGGCTCTATATGTGTCGTTTACATACGTATATTTCAATTATTAATATGGAAAACGAGTGCATGTTTTTATCAAAACTAATTTTGTAAATGCATGTGCGTGTAAAACAATACCATTTGCACAAAAAAAATTGGGAAAATAATATTCTCTAAAGAAGTGGTTACCCGTTTAGAGCGTCATTATGGACGTTTTACATTATAACTAATGTGTTTCAAACTCGTCACTCGTCACTTCATCGTTCTTTTGCCAAACGATGCATCGTAATTTGATAGTTCAGTTGTGAGTTATGTTGTTGTTTGGGGAAAGCACCCTCTTTAGCCTACGCTCATTAAATATGCTGAATAAGGCAACAAGCTCCAATGTTAACCTGACAAAAGGCAACTTATGGAACACACTAAACCAGCTAGCCAGACCGATGCTGACCAACAGACTGTCGAAGCCCAATGGCCAACCTTCGATCGGTGTTTCCCAGCCCCTAACAATTTTTGAAAAACAGTTTCTGTTTTATTTGTAGCTGTACAACAGCATAAACTACTATAACAATGATCACCTCACCTTACATGACACTTATTGCCATACTAAAAGTGGAAGTAGATAGTTTACCACAGATCTTGAAAATAAAATAACTAGCAAACATATAGTTTGAAAATGAACATTAAAACTCAACGACTTAAAGCAAATCGACAACATTAGTCATGCAGCATGCACTTCTAATTGGGTTTGGTATTTCTGTTGTGCCATGTCTGGTGTGGACAACCAGATTCTTGTTGCATCTCATGAAGTTAGGACACAGTGTGAGTCTCTTTTTTTCACAAACACTAATGCTTTCATTAGATGGACAAATCCAGGTGTGCAAATTCAGTCAAGTTACAAGTACAGCAGACATGTCAAGTTTCTGTGTCAAGCCATTTCCGTTATCAAACTTAACACTGTTTTTGATGAACTATATCTTTATCAAAAAAAAGTACAGCCTACATTATGTTATTGTTATATAAAACATAACATGGAGAGTGCCACACACACACTAGTTTATACAGTACTTCTGATTCTGTCTGAAGTGCTTCTGTCAACCTCCTGCAACTCCGTTTGCATTGTTCTGTCTGGAGGTGTCTTGATTCAGACACAAGCACTTAGCCGCCCTAGCAGAGCTCAGTACAGTCTCTGACAGTCTTCTGAGCCTTAATGACAGACCGCTGGTGCTGCAGGCTCTGATTACTCACTGCTGTACCCTACACAGGCTAATGGAGAGATCGCTCCACATTGTGACTGTATTAAAAGATGAATGCCAGACCATGTGCCAGTATTTTTCCATGGCATCCTTTTTTCTTGGACTGGCGTTTCTTTGTGAAATCTGTGAAGGGAAATGCAATAAATTATATGTGTATCTTCTGTGGAGAAAAAAACACAAAGAAAGATATGTTTAGAGGAATATTTGAGCTGCTCTTTTCATGAAATTAGAAAAAATGTGTAGTTTCTGAACACTTGGTTTCAAGGACTACTTCTATCATGCTAAAGAACAGCTTGGAAAAATATCTTTTTTTGAGCTCCATGAAGAAGTTAAGTGATAAGTAGGCCCACCCGGAATCTGCGCGTGCAAATTTTCTGCAGATTTTTCCCCCATTATTAATTCTGTTTATTTACTTGAGTAAATGTGTGTCAATCTATATTTATTCATTTTTTAAATTGATTGCAGTAATATTATTGACTAATGTGAAAATGTTCGTCTGATTCATGTACAATGCTGTGTGTACAGTATTACTTTCTGTCTTTTACTAGATATATTATATGACAAACTTGCTTTATTTACCAAATAAAGTGAATCTAATTGGATTTACATTTTAAACAATAAATAAAAGTTAAAAATATATTATTTCTTATGTTATTTATTAAGGTTTTAGTTATGATACTTCCAAAATAATTCCGCTAAAATCTGCAGATTTTTACCAAAATCCTCAGCAGAAATAGCAAAAAACGTTCGCAGATTCCATCTGGCCCTAGTGATAAGAATTAGAATTTATATGAATGAGCAATATGGCTCTGAAGTACAAAAAAACTGAACTTTGAAATGGCTGGTATCTTTATAAATGAACTGCACATAAGTCTACTGCTATTACTACTGGTTGCTGCTTTTGTTTCAAAAATATGTATTAATATTTGGCAAATATCTATTGGCAAATTATCTGTTTTTGTTCAAACTGAAATAAAACTGAGAATTTTTTTTCCTTAATAAGGCCTCTTGTACTTTGTCTTGTTATCTTTTGAGGAAAGCATGTGTAAATTCCAGTCAAAAAAAAACTAAAACTTGCTGGTTGAATAAACTTTAAGTCAGAATTTTTCCAAGTGTATGAATAATTATACATATGGGATATACAGTTGAAGTCAGAATTATTAGCCCCCTTTGGATTTTTTTTTCTTTTTTTTTAATATTTCCCAAATTATGTTTAACAGAGCAAGGACATTTTCACAGTATGTCTGATAATATTTTTTCTTCTGGAGGAAGACTTAATTTGTTTTATTTCGGCTAGAATAAAAGCAGCTTTAAATAAAAAAAAAAAACAATTTTGGGACAAAATTATTAGCCCCTATTAATTATTAGCAAATTTTTTTCCCGATAGTCTACAGAACAAACCATTGCTATACAATTTCTTGCCTAATTACCCTAACCTGCCTAGTTCACCTTATTAACCTAGTTAAGCCTTTAAATATCACTTTAAACTGTACAGAAGTGTCTTGAAAAATATCAAGTCAAATATTATTTACTGTCATCATGGCAAAGATAAAATAAATCAGTTATTAGAAATAAGTTTCTAAAACTATTATGCTTAGAAATGTGCTGAAACAATCTTCCCTTCATTAAACAGAAATTTGGGAAAAAAAATAAACAGGGGCGCTAATAAGTCACGGGGTTCTGACTTCAACTGTATATACAGTATATATATTAAATATATATGTATAATTATTCATACACCTGGTAAATGTCTTACATATTTTTCATTGCGAGTTCATTTTTTTTCTCATTATTGTACACCCAGTACCACGTATTGACAGAAAAACACAGAATTGTTGACACTTTTTGCAGATTTATTAAAAAAAAAAAAAAAAAAATGTCACATGATCCTAAGTATTCAGAACCTTTGATGTGTCGCTCATATGTTTAACTCAGGTGCTGTCCATTTGCTGTAATCATCCTCGAGATGGTTCTTCACCTTCATTTGAGTCCAGCTGGGTTTAATTATACTGATTGGACCTTACAGCTTACAATGCATATCAGAGCAAATGAGAATCATGAGGTCAAAGGAACTGCCTGAAATGTTCAGAGACAGAGTTGTGTGGCAAGGCACAGATCTGGCCAAGATTACAAAACAATTTGCTGCTCTTAATGTTCCTAAGAGCACAGTGGCATCCATATTTCTTAAATGGAAGACGTTTTGGATGACAAGACCCATCCTTGAGTTGGATATCTGGCCCAACTGAGCTTGGTGAGAGAGGTTAAAAAAAGAATCCAAATATCACTATGGCTGAGCTCCAGAGATGCAGTTGGGAGATGGGAGAAAGTTGTTGAAAGTCAACCATCTCTGCAGCCCCCCACCAGTCAAGGCTTTATGGCGGAGTGATCCGATGGAAGCCTCTCCTCATGGCAAGACTCATGAAAGCCCATCTAAATGACTCCAAGATGGTGAGAAATAAGATTCTCTGGTCCAATAAGACTGAGATATAGCTTTTTGGCCTTAATAATAAGCAGTGCTCATCACCTGTCCAATAGAGCCCCAACAGTGAAGCATGGTGATGGCAGCATCATACCGTGGGGGTGTTTTTCAGCTGCAGGGACAGGATGACTGGTTGCAATCGAGGGAAAGGTGTACTGTGATATCCTGGACGAAAACCTTCTCCAGAGTGCTCAGGACCTCAGACTGGGCAAAAGGTTTATCTTTTAACGAAGATTTACGTTATAAATAGGGCCAGACAGAATCTGCAGACGTTTTTGCTATTTCTACACAAAATTGTGTAAAATATCTGCAGATTTATGTGGAATGAACTAATACCTTAATATATGAAATAAAATAATAATAATACCTTTTTAACCTTTTATTTAATGTTTACAACGCAAATCTAATTAGATCCACTTATTTGGTAAAAGAAACAAGTCTCTCATAGATGTATCTACTAAAAGACAAAAAAATATTACTTTACAAACTGTATTGTAAATACATCATATTAATATTTTCATATCAGTCCATAATATTACTGAAATTAATTTTAAAAACTGAATAAATAAAAATGTACACACATTTACAGAAGTTAATTATCAGAATCAATGTTTGGCCAAAAATCAGCTGAATTCTGCATGTGCAGATTCCACGCAGGCCTACTTATAAAATTACAAAGGAGTGGCTTCACAACAACTCAGTGACTGTTCTAGAATGGCGCAGCCAAAGCCCTGACTTAAATCCAATTAAGCATCTCTGGAGAGACCTAAAAACGTCTGTCCATCAACATTTACCATCCAACCAAACAGAACTGGAGAGGATCTGCAAGGAGGAATGGCAGAGGGTCCCCAAATCCTGGAGTGAGAACAAGCATCTTTCCCAAAAATTATATTAGATCAAAATGGTGCTTCTACTAAATACTGAGCAAAAGGTTTGAATATTTAGGACCATGTGATATTTCACTTTTCCTTTTTAATAAATCTGCAAAAATGTCAACAATTCTGTGTGTTTCTGTCAATACAGTATGTGGTGCTGTGTGTTCATTAACGAGAGAAAAAAAAACTACTTCAATGATTTTAGCAAATAGCTGCAATATAACAAAGAGTGACAAATGTAAGGGGGTCTTAATACTTTCCGTTCCCACTGTATATGATATATGACACATCAATCCAAATATGAACTTGTATGTCATGTATGTAAGTTATCATATATCAGATTTCTATATGCTGGGAGTGGATTGGGAAAGCTCGGAGGGCCTGGACTCAAACTCAGGTCACCCAAAGTGCAAACATGCGACATGTTGAAGTGCAGCCCACAAGACTATCAGTTACAGTACATGCACTGCAGAAATATCAATGCATTAGAATCACTGTTTCAGGCTATTATTATAGCTCAAGTTTGAAAAAGTAGGAGACATTTCAAGCTCACTGTGTGGTCTGAGAGATTAGCAGCTGAAGTATTTCAGCACAATGTGTTGTTCTCACTTTAAGAAAAAAAATCTATTTCTACAGAGTCAGTCCGGCTGTCAGACGTCTCTGCTGGGAGACCCTCCTAAAGAAGTGAAGTTGCCTTCCAACCCTTATCTAAACCTGGCTAGTGTGCTTCCTGGAGTGGTACTACAAGGTACGAGCGCAATCAGAGCGTCACCCGCTGAACATGACTCACTTCTCCCAGCCCTTGGAATGTATCTCTCCTCTGTCAGCTCTCTGTTTCCTACAGTAATGTTTACAGTGTACGGCTGTCTTGTCTCTCTCGGCTCAAGGCCACGGCGCTTGAGATAAAGAGTGTGTTTGCGTGAGATGTTCTGAATGGATGTCTCCAAGCAGACTTTGTGTTTGTGTGTCTCCTACAGCTCCCTGTAACAGTAAACCTCAGACGGTGCAGGCTCACCCAGGGACTTACAGCGCGGTCCTACCACCCGCCACCCAAACGCACACTCAATACAACGCAGAGAGCGCTCCTGCAGAATACACTCAGCAGTACACTCAGCAATACACACAGGTAACTACAACACACACACATGAGAAACTGCACAAATATAAAATGATGCAAAGTAAGCAATAAATAATGACAAGATACATAATTAAAAGAAATCAATGCACACTAGATTTATTATTTTCTAATACTTCAACAGACTGGAGTGAATTATTTCACATTTACACAAAGATGATGTTTGTTTCAAGACATTTGTCAGTTTCTGTTATCAAACCACTGCTGTTTGTGGCACTATGTATGTATCTCATCCAAAGCCTTTTTTTTAATTGTTGTCATTCATTCATTCATCCATTTTCCTTCGGATTGGTCCCTTTATTAATCAGGGGTCACCACAGTGGAATGAACCGCCAACTTTTCAAGCATATGTTTTACACAGCAGATGCCCTTCCAGCTGCAACTCAGTTCTGGGAAACACCCATACCCTCTCACATGCACACACTATAGCCAACTTAGCTTATTTAATTCCCCTATAGCGTATGTCATTGGCCTGTGGGGGAAACCAGAGCACCTGGAGGAAACCCACGCGAGCACAGGGAGAACATGCAAACTCCACACAGAAATGCCAAATGACCCAGCAGGGACTCAAACTAGCGACCTTCTTGCTGTGAGGCGACAGTGCTTACCACTGAGCCACCGTGTCACCCCTTTAATTGCTGTAGACTGTGAAAATAACAAACCGTAATGTGGTCAGATCCTCACTGGAACTACTTTAGTTTTGCATTTGTCTGAAAATAATTACACACCTTAGTGTTCTTTAGCCATTCACAATCAAGCATTCTACATAAATGTAACTTAATCCTGGGTTCCACAAAAAAAGCTGAAATATTTTCGGTAAACGCCCATTTCACTGGAACAGAAACTAAAAAATCTTTGAGTTATTCTTAGATTTACAGCTTCTTTCTTACAATTATAAGTAGGTCATTCGCAATAGTCACATCACAGGATCTGCGATGTCAAGTTCAGCTTCAGTTTATTCTTATCCTAGTGTTGTAGCTTTTTGACTGTAAGATTTCAAGTGCATGTAACTAATTTGTGTATTTAACTTTCATGCAATGAAGATAATGCAGTTTTATTTGCTTAAATTTGATTATTCAACTTATACTCGAAAACAGTTAGTATAAATTTATGCAAATTATCTGGCCTACAAAATCAGGACAATCAATATAAAATGATGAGTTCTTTCCAAATCGAGCTATTCAAGTCATCTGGTAAAATAATTATATTGCTATCGCAATAAATATCACAGAAAAACAAAATATTGCAATGTCTAATTTTTCCAGTATCATCCAGCCCTAATTCCAAGTCTGTATCACAACTCAGAGATAGAAAGTCACTTTTGGACTACATTTGGACTCTTACTAGTTTGTTTCTCACAGTTTCTAATTTTTCAGTTCTGTTTATATTTTATAACTTCATTTTTTTATAATTGTTTTTATTGGAAAAAAAACAAGGTGAATTATTACATACAAATATTTGACAAGACTTTTTCTTTTTTATTGTTTTATTTTACCCCATGAACACCCTCCCTCCCCCCTTCAAAGAAAAAAAAATTATATATATATATATATATATATATATATATATATATATATATATATATATATATATATATATATATAAAGGGAAATAATAATAATAATAATAGCAAATAAATATCTAAAATATTAACAAAAATAAATTAATTAAATTAATACTAAATTAAATGAAATATTTACACAGTCACAGAGTTTAGTTTTATAGTACAGTGAGGAAGAAGTATTTAACAGTGTTTGCCCATTGAGTTTAATTGCATTATCCTTATAAGCATATACCTTTTAATTTCCCTATTAGTTTTAGTTCGGGGGAAGTGTTTTACAACTTCATTTCTAAGTCAGAATTTAAATGAAGAGTTCAGGGGAAAAAACTTCTAAATGCCATCTAAAATTACGTTCTAAAATGGGCAGTAATATTAGGCTCCTGTGTATAGGTTCAGTAATTTCACTTGTCAATTTCACTAGAATTGCATGATATATCATTCAATTATATTTTTTACTATTTGTTTCTTACAATTCTGTTTTCATTTATTAATTTAGTTTTTATCTCGCAATTCTGACCTTATTTCTCACAATTTTTTATCAGAACTGCGAGCTATAAACTCACAATTGAGTAACAAACTAATTCTGAAAAAGAAAAAAAACTGTCAGAAAGCATATGCACCACTAGTGTTTTTCAGCCAATAATAAACTTCCAGTGAAAGCCGGTAAAAGAATTTTTAATTTCATAAGATTCCTCTTACAGCATTGATGTTGTAATGTTATTACAATACATTCAGTTAAATAGACTTAAGCAAACATGTAGTTGTTCATGCGTGAAATGAGAAGAAATACAATGTAACCCCTAGTGGCATCAGGATCAGCAGGGAGCGCAGAAACTCCATTGAAAATACTGGGGTAAAATAATCATCATATGTTAAAGACATGGCAGGGGAAAATGATATTTAATGCAGTGCTTATTGTCCAGTCTGAGACCCACTTTATATTGTATATCTATCAAACAGTGAAGATCACTGATTTTTAAAGAAATCAAACTTAAAATGTAGCAGTTTTATAATGGAAAGACAGTTTATCGAAAGCGCTGAGCCTGGCTGGCTGGAATTAAAAGTCCATGTGCATATACCCCATTGTGAGATTAAACAATTACCTTTATTTTTACTACTAGCCACAACAGACTTCTATTGCTTTGAAAAAGAATAAAAATGGACAAACATATGTTTCCTACGCAAATCAGCTAATTAGAATATTCCTGAAGGATCATTTGAGCGTTGAAGATGGAAGCAATTAAGTGGAGGGAATTAAGCTTTGCCATAACAGAAAAACATTATAATTTTAAATATATTGCATAGAAACTGCTATTTTTACACTGTAATCCTATGTAGAGTAATAAATGAGCAAATGAAACATTTCAAAACCACACAAGAAGCTAAATTATATCAGTCTATTGCCTGTTGGTATACAGTATATTCATGAATAGATTTAAATGTAGTCATGAACAGACCCTAATTAAAAGGACTGGAGTAGGTAACTGGGGTAAATTCTGTTTTTTCATAACAGAGATAAATATATACACTTACTGGCCACTTTATTAGGTACTTTACTAGTACCGGGTTGGACCTCCTTTTGCCTTCAGAACTGCCTTAATCCTTCATGGCATAGATTCAACAAGTTTGTGGAAATATTCCTCAGAGATTTTGGTCCAGATTGACATCATAGCATTACACAGCGATCAGTCACAGCATCACAAACCAGTCTGAGATGATTTGCACTTTATGACATGTTATCCTGCTGGAAGTAGCCATGAAAAGACTGTGGTCATAATGACTGTGGCATTGACACAATGCTCAATTGGTACTAATGGGCCCAAAATGTGCCTGGAAAATATGCCCCACACCATTACACCACCACCAAGACCAGCCTGGTCTGTTGACACAAGGCAGGATGGATCCATGCTTTCATGTTTTTGACGGCAAATTCTGATCTTACCATCCAAATGCTCCAGCAGAAATCGATACTCATCAGACCAGGCAACGACTTTCCAATCTTCTATTGTCCAATTTTGTTGAACCTGGTTGAACTGAAGCCTCAGTTTCCTGTTCTTAGCTGACAGGAGTGGTACCTAGTGTGGTCTTGTGCTGCTGTAGCCCATCTGCCTCAAGGTTGGATGTGTTGTGTGTTCAGAGATGCTCTTCTGCGTACCTCGGTTGTAACGAGTGGTTATTTGAGTTACTGTTGCCTTTTTAACACCTCAAACCAGTCTGGCCATTCTCCTCTGAACTCATCAAAAAGGCATTTATGGCCACAGAATTGCCACTCACTGGTTATTTTCCCTTTCTTTGGACCATTCTCTGTAAACTCCAGAGATGGTTGGTTGTGTGTGAAAATCCCAGTAGATCAGCAGTATCTAAAATACTTTGAACATGGCATGGTTGTTGGTGCAAGAAGAGCTGATCTGAGTCACTTAAAGCACCTTTCTTGCAGTTGCTGCATTGTGATTGGCTATTAGAAATTTGCATTAACAAGCAGTTGGATATGTGTACCTAATAAAGTGGCTGGTGAGTGTATTTTTTTCCCAAATACATTTGAATAGAAATCAGCTATTTTAAAAGGCATTAGTACATTGAGTTATTGTATTTTTCAATTGTACCATCAAATAAATGCAGCTTTGAGCCAAAGAAAGACTTCAATAATATTTTGATAAATCTAAATTTAGATTTATTCATAAATATACATATTTTAAATACTTATTAAATCGTTCAAATATTTCTAAATATTACTGATTATTTTGTATTTCTAAGCAACACCCAAATAGTAAAGTTTAGACTAAATGCAATCAACAATACACACAAATATCAATTACTTGCATAACAGCTGTCACAGGCACATTTGCAGTTACTGGGCTTTTTATTTTTTTATTTTTTGCCTTTTGAACTTGCAGGACAGGGTTAAGACTGCGGCCTTGAGATTTTCTGTATCAGATGAAAGTATTTGACCGTTGTGGATTACAGACACTGACAATCAGAGACTGGAAGAAATCCCAGTGTTCACTGCAGCGATCAGTCAGTCTCGCCTTTTCTCCCCCCGTTATATCCCCCACAATTCCACTCTCCACCGCAGGCTTCCACTGAGCCCCAAATCTGACAGCGAAAGCCAGAGAGAGTGTGAGGAACGAGAAAGAAAACAATTCTGCCATATGCTCAGCTGCACAATAGAGATAGATGGGTCTATACGGAATAAAGAAAATGAATGTTTGAAACAGAACAAAAAAAAGACTGGAGCTGCGGTGCACAACCGTGTCCTAACCAGAGCCTGCAAATGATAAAAGTTACTTTCAGTTAAATCTTGTCCCAGATGAGCTTTTGCTTTATTGCTCGCTTTAAATTTTTGCTTCATTGCGCTCTGTAAAAATCTCACCGGTCCAAAGTCCCTCTTCACATTAAACCTCAAAATATCTTCTGATGTCTATAACTGAAC